ACCTTTTAAGGAATGTAAAACACCATTAGGGCTGTACATGAAATGTGTTATCTTTCCTGGATGACAAAGAACACCTAGTAATATGATGAAGCTGGAGCTAGACTGCATGTTAACAGAGAGCTCTGGTATACTGCAGATCTGTCATCAGTTTGTGAGAGGTGCCTCATCAATCCACCCTCAGTCATTGAATTTTTTTTTAAGTTGGACCCCCAAGCTGCACGTATATATAGCTGGTCTTAAGGGAAATCGCTGGCCTGAATAGAAGAGCTGCAGTGCAGTGTCACAAAGAGAAATCCTGCATCTTCGCCTCGATTAGGCAGAATGTGGGAAGGTAGTGTCTTTGTGTACAAACAACTGTGTAAATATTGTAAGACCAGGCCATACACACAAGTATAACATTACTTGGTGCACATATAAGATTTTTTTTATAGAAAATAGGACACCTTGAGTAATACTAAAGATGGTTGCTATGGTAACATTGGGTTTTGACAAGCTAATAATCTTTTAAGCAGCCCACAGATACGTTCTAAAAATATCATAGCAACATGAAGTATACAGGTAGTGTGTGTCGGAACACTGGCTATTAACTATCTTTGTTCTGCAAGCTTTTTACGCGCTTCAGCCTGGGAAGAAGTTTACGGAGCCAGCAGGGCTTAGCTGGTATTTCCATAGTTAAACGTATCTGGTTGCTATTGGCAGCATTAGAGGTGGCACACCTAATTTTCAGTTTATATTTGAAAAATTGCACTTGGCACTCTTTGTAAAATGTTTGCTTATGTGTCTCAGTGTTGTGCAGTTTTAACATAATTGTTGTTTGTGTGTATGTCAGGGTTGTTCTTTGCTAAATAAGTGTTGTGCATGATCACTCTTTCTATGCCAGCCCTTCATTAGCAGATTACAGCTCAGCAATCAAGGCATCAGTGGGGTTGTGCCTGCATGCGCAACTAATCTACAGAAGGTGGTAGCCGGCAGCTGCAGAGGATGCTGCAATGCAGGGTGAAGGATAAGGAATGGGAAGTCTTGTGGGGGAAGGGCTTTTAGTCCAGGTATCAGTGCTAGGGAGAGACATAGCACAGGCTGCTGTAGCCAACTACTTGCTATTCAGTTCTGTAAAAGCAGTACAGGAAAAGGATGCATTCATTTTGTGAACATATAACTGTATGTTAGATTTCGGCATCCTATGATCATTTTATTATAGTGTATAGATAAGATGCTTTCCCTGTTAAAAAATGTATCGGGATTATAATCTCTGACAATGTACCTTTTAAACTTTATACATATTTGAATGTTCGTGCTTATGGCATATAAACATTTTTTTTTTTTCCTGATGGTCTGCATTTGTTAATGGTGAAATAAGTTTTTTTTTTTGTCTTTTTCTAAAATAACTATTCTCAGCTTTTTAAGCTCTGTCCATATACACCAATCAGCCATAACATTTTGACCACCCACTTAGTATCGCATAGGTCCCCCTTTTGCTGCCCCTTGAGGCATTGTTTCCTCTAGACCCCCTGAAGATATGTTGTGGTATTTGGCACCAAGCTGTGAGTAGCAGATTATTTTAAGTCCTGTAAGTTGCGAGGTGGGGCCTGCATGGATCGGACTTGTTTTTCCAGTACATCCCACAGATGCTCGATTCGCTTGAGATCTGGAAAATTTGCAGGCCAAGTCAACACCTCAAACTCGTTCTTGTGTTCCTCCATTCTTGAGCCTTTTTTGCAGCAGGGCGTATTATCCTGCTTAGGGGCCACTGCCATCAGGGAATGCTTTTTCTATTAAGGGGTGTACTTGTCGACAACAATTTTTTTAAGTAGGTGTCAAAGTAACATCCACATGAATGGCAGGACCCAAACTTTTCCAGGAGAACATTGCCCAAAGCATCACAGCGCCCCCGCCGGCTTGCCTTCCTACCTTAATGCATCCTGGTGCCATCTCTTCCCCAGGTAAGCGACACACATGCACCTGGCCATCCTCATGATGTAAAAGAAAACGTGCTTCATCATTGCTTCTTCTTTCACTGCTCCATGGTGAGGTCCACTTCTGATTGCTCATGTGCCCATTGTAAGGTGGTTTTGGTAGTGGATACATGTCAGCATGGGCACACTGACCGGTCTGCGGCCACACAGCCCCATAAGCAAACAAACTACGTTGCACTGTGTGTTCAGACACCTTTCTATCAAAAACTGCATTAAAGGAGAACTATGAGATGAGTGATTTCCACTCACCTCATAGTTCTAGCCGACCTGTGACAATGAGACTGTCGCAGGTCGACTCAGTAGATCGGGAGGTGAGCGAACACATACCAGGTTCGCTCACCTCTCGATCATGTCACGGTTCTCTGCCGTGACAGGGGGAGGGGCTGGATTCCCCTCTCCCCGCTCCGATCTGCCAGCGCTGACTGGCGGAACGGACGGGGGAGGGGGCGGGTACAGCTGGCTCTGCCTCTAGATAGTCACTCACGCAGCTGGGCGGATCCCGTCATCTACGTCGGGATCCGCCCCGGCTGCAGCGCCTCAGTATACCGCGAGCTGTAGCTCGCGGTATACTGAGCTTAGGGTAACGGGAGGACGCTAGTTTGTGTCCTCCCGTTACCCTAAAGAGAACTATGGGGAAAAACACCGACCCCATAGTTCTCCTTTAACCCCATAGTTCTCCTTTTTAACAGCAAATTGAGCTTTAGTAGCTCATCTATTGGATTGTACTACACTGGCAAGCCTTTGCTTCCCACGTGCATTAATATACCTTGGCTGCCCATGACTCTGATGCCGGTTCACCTGTTTTTCATTCTTTGGACCGCTTTTGGTAGGTTTCGGCCACTGCAGATGGGAAACATCCCACAAGAGCTGCAGGTTTGGAGCTCCTCTGACCCATTTGTCCAGCCATCACAATTTTCACCCTTGCCAAAGTCTCAAATCCTTACGCCTAGTATATCCCACCCACTTCTAGGTGCCATTGTAACAAGATAATCAATGATATTCACTTCACCTCTCAGCGGTCATAATGTTATGGCTTATCGGTGTATATATTGCAGTATAAGTTTTAAGAAAAATATCCAAAATCCAAGGTATATTTTTGTTTTGATATTTTTTAATTAAGTTGCCATGTTTAAATAAACTACATTCTCTATTGCATTACAAATACATTTGAAGGTCACTTATGACAGACACCAAACAAAGACACCACACTTATTACTAATAGTATTTATTACTAATAAATCCACCGTATGCCGAAAAGGAATTTCTGTAATTTGGCAGCAGAGAGAGAGCATATTACTGCAAAGGTGGGTCCTGAACCAGTAGACAATGGCTTTTTTTTTTTTTTTTTTTTTTATATGACCATATACTGTCAGATTTTCTCAAGTGTCATGGCCAACAGTTGGGTAGTACATTCTTTCTAAGTGTTCTACCGCAGTAAAATCTCCTTTCATCATAATTCTTCCTGCATGCTAGACCTAGTAATTTATCCAATCGGTTAAGAGAAACAGGATCTGTAAAGATCATACTCTTGACTGCAGTGGACTTGACAGTTGCCATAGATACTTTAATCGTAGTTGACATGCCGCAATTTGTGTGGCATGTTTATTGCCTATGCAAGTTACATTCCGGTTTAACGTGTGCACATTTTGTGAAGTTTGTTGTATATTCTTAAAGGAAACTCATTATATGCACATGTTAAAATGATTATTTCAGGAAGCAAAATGCCTCCTGTGGAATGAAAAATCAAGATCTAGTCATAACACAGTAGAAAACACAAGCCATGCACAAAATCTAATCCGCATTCATGGAGGTGGTTTTCGGAACTTAACTGTAAGACAAATCACGTGCGTTACAAGTCTGATTTGCTGGTCCGTCCATTGTGCTCAGTGCGCACTGTTCACCTTATCTTACCATTTGATAAATGGGCAAAGTCTTGTACTGGTTGTCCATTAAAATAGTACTTCAATCCATGATTCATAAAAACACAAGACAGGTTCTCTCTCCAAGTCAGTGATTGCCTCACACGCTGCTTGCTCACCTTTTCAAAAAGTGTGTGAAATAATCATTGGATTGGGTGAAGTATGTCTTGGTTTTATAGGTCATGAATTTATAATCAAGCATCTTTTTTTTTAATGGACAACCAGTGCAAGACTTTGCCTAATCTCTTTAATGGTAAAAAAAAAAATCCAGATAGTCTTTGAGATCAGGGTTTTGGTCGAGTATAAAAAGGATATGATGGGTGTCAGAAGATAATTTAATGGAATTGTTTGAGGTCTTTTTTTATTTATTTTTTATTTAAAGAACCCAAAAGCAAAATATGTAATATATTGCACCTTACCAGTCCTTAGATGTGGTGGCTGCCTTAGTTTAATTTTTTAGGCCTTTTTCTTTTATTTGCACCTGGTAATCTGGCCAGTAAGTCTTTTTAATTCCACCTTCCTTTAACAAAGCAAGTTCTCCAGATAGAAAGTTGACACAAACCATTTAACACTGACAGAGGTGCTTACAATGGTCAACTTTTATTCATTTATAAAAAACCTTTATCCCAAAAGAATGAAATAAAAACTGGATATAACTGCTTAAAAATGATTAGTTGGAGTTTGGATTTAATTGTTTGTCAAGTCCATATAAATCTCCTAGTCCATCGAACACTCTCTCTCCACAGGGTGATAATGCTGATGTCCAAGGGTGGCTCCGTTGCTTCTCCATGGAGTGGAGCCACCCTAAGACAGTAAGTGTGTTACGAACTAGATCACCAGCTGAAAATAACAGGGGGGAAAAGCAAAAACTAATGCAGTCACCACATTTAAGGACTGCTAATCTGCAATATATTTGATTTTGGGTTCAGATACACTTTAATACCATCCATGCTAAAAAATGGTATATAGCTTGGGCAAAATTGTATTTCTTCTTCTTTAATTTTCTGCTATCTGCATTCTTATTTGTTTTTTTTTTTTTCTTTCTACACCTTGTCCTTTTCTTCCCACTGGTCTTTCACTGCCTCTCCGCAAACCCCTCTAACCATAGCTGGGTTTGTCAAGTCGCCTATGTCAGAAACTAAACTTACAGGGGATGCCTTTGAACTTTACTGTGATGTGGCCGGGATCCCCACACCGGAGATCCAATGGTGGTATGCTGAAGTCAACCGGGTTGAGTCTTTCAAACAGCTGTGGGACGGTGCAAGGAAGCGCCGGGTCACCATAAATACAGCCTATGGCACAAATGGGGTGAGTGTGCTGAGAATAACACGTCTGACACTGGAAGATTCTGGCACATATGAGTGCCGGGCAAGCAACGACGCCCGACGGAATGACCTGAGACAAAACCCATCCATAACTTGGATCCGAGCCCAGGCCACCGTAAGCGTCTTGCAGAGTGAGTCCACCCTTCTCCCGTATCATAGTGGATTTTTAGTAGCTAGATGAGCTAGTTAAAATCTGTGTGCCCCGTTTTCCTCACAAACCCACCACCTGAGATCCTTGATAAACCATCTTGTTGTCTCGTCTTTTTTGACCCTTCGGTTCTTCCACCATACGTAGCCCTAGAAGCTTCCTTCAACCACTACTTTCTTGTTTTAGGGATCGAAGAAGAAGTCGAATCTTGATGCCATGGCAAACATTCTCTAATTTCTGTGTATATCTGTCTTGTAGGTTCCATTCTTCTTTTAGTATGCCTTTTTTGTAGATATTTTTTTGTGTATTGTCTTTACATTCTAGATATAACTCACCTTTCTTTTAGCTTGCGGTACAGCTCTTCAGACACTCCACGTTCCAGTAGCAGTACATCTGTTTTCTGTGTCTTGTGTTTTTGTGAAATGGGAATATTTCTAGCTTAAAACCCGCCTTGTTCTGTCGTCGATTTAACGTACTCTTTCTTGGCTATTATAATTTCATATTATGTCAGCTGTGGTTCTGTGTATCTGCAGTCTAGTGATTTTTGCAAGGAGGTCTGTAAGTAATAACAGTACTTGGGGGTCTGTTTTACCTTTTTTTTTTTGTCTATTCTAGTTCTAGTAATGTAACTCATATCATTTGATTCATGATTAGTCTGCATTTTGGTACAGTACCCGTTTCTCAACATTTCATTAAAAACCTGTTCTTGACATTCTTTCATTGTCATTTTGGGTTGTGGGATTCTAAGCTAATTGTCCTTTTTCGTGTGAAATCTGCATCGGCTGGAATTGGTTTTGAGACGCAAATGAAGAAATACAGTTGTGTCTTTGACTCTTGTTTTTTGCAGGGCAAATCTTCTAGTGTGTGTATATTGATTTGAAGGTCCTCCTCACCCCCCTCCGCTATAATGCGACAGATTGTATTCCCTTCTCATCTCACGCTCTGCAGAAAGGTGAATGCTGAACTCTGAATAGAGTACGCTGCAGGAACAAGTGGCCAGAATATTAAGCAGCTTGTACTGTGATTTGGCAGCTTGTTCTGTGTTTATATCCTGCAGCACTGTATGCCAGACAACCACCAGCACTACGTGGTTATAGCGGAGACTCAGGCTTGTGGCCGAAGCTGATCAGCGAAGTACAGCCTCCTGGCTACAAGCTTTGTGTACACATACCAGGATCTTAAGTATTCCCTTGTAAGGCTGATTTATTCTGTATGCTGTCATCTCTCTACATTCTGGAACACTACCAATTTACACGTAGTAAAGCCAACGCAATGATTATTTTGGATCTGCGGTTTTCCATGGCATTTATTTCTTAATATGAACAAATATGTTTGTTGGTTTACAGTTTTAAAATATATATATATAT